CCCCTCTTCCCGCCCGCCCCCGCGGGCCCGGCGGCCCCGGCCGCCGCCTGTTCTGACCTCGACCCGCCCCAGGCCGGCTCACGTCTCCATCCCGGTTCTTGCAGGGCCGACGCATCCTTCGCCGCACGTTAAGTAGCGCTTCGTCCACGCGCCCGGCTGGGGCCGGCGACTCTTCCCATCAAAGCTCGAGGGACGGGGAGGCTGCCGTCGCGCCTGGGCTGTCCTCAGGGGCCGAAGGGTGTTCGTCTCCCAGCCGCGGGGAGGGAGGAAGGTGGGTGATATCAGCGCGCCTGATCAGGTTAGGCTGCAATGGAGGGATGCTTTCGGTTGGGGCTTTGGCTCTAGCTCAAGCGCAGCCCACGGTGACCATATGCCCCAGGCCAAGCGTCCCCCACCCGTGCCGCAAGCAGCACCAGCGGGGAGGAGGAGGGGTCCCACGTGCAGTCTGGGCGCCCGAGGGGAGGCGAGAGCTGCCCGCCCTCGGGCGTGCAGGGCGTCGCACGCCCACCCCTGCGATACCAGGAGTATATTGAAACTACTGCTGATCAGCCACGGTCGTGGAGGTCTCGGACCTTCTTGGCAAGCCCCGGCTGAGCTTGTGGTCGAGTGGCTCGAGGCACGGCGCCTCCAGTGACTGTGCCCTTTGCCCGCCAGCAGTAGGACTGGCTTCCTTAGCCATGAGGTTGCTGATACTCGGTTCCCTCGGGGATGACGTGTGTCTCCTTGCCCTGCCCTCCAGAGTTTGATGGAGAATCGGTCGGATGACAGCGGGAACTGTTGTTATCACCGGGGGAATCCTAGCGACGGTCATCCTACTGTGCATCATTGCCGTGCTCTGCTACTGTAGGCTACAGGTAAGCAGCCCCACAAATCCCATCAGAGTTGCTGTTCCTCGGTCTAAACTGCTGGCCTAGAGGGGATATTGGTGGGTTTTTCCTGCCTGTGAGGGGCAGGGAGTTGAAACGCCCCTCTTCCCAGTGTGCTGCATGTCCTTTCCTCCTCCTAGCTCAGGGCGACTCTCCTAATGCTTTTGAGCACCTGCAGCACTTGCTAATTTAGGTATAGGCTCGGCTAGGTTTGCAGTAGTAGGCGGAGTTTTTTTTTTCCTGTAAATTTGGCAAGGAGGCTTTCAGCAATGGCTAGCTACGACCTCTTTCTTTTTTAAAAGTTAATGCGATGGCTGTGCCATGCAGCAGTTACCCATGTGATGAAAAGTACTGCAGTTATTGGGGGTGTTCCCAGCTGGCATGATAAAATATCCTGCTTCTCCTTGCAAGCCTTGCTGCGCTATGTGTTCAGGGCAGAGGCTGAGCTCCCGCCAGCTGCGTCCTAGAGCACGTTCAGTTCTGCGGCCAGATTTAGTCCCACGCCAGCTGCTCCGCAGGACCCAGGTATCGATCAGGCAGAGCAGAGCAGCCACCTCGAGCAGCAAGGGGCCAGCAGGGAGTTTCGTTGGCCGGGGGACGAGGTGAGTTGGGACGTGGCAGGGCTCTCTGCAAAGCCAAATCTGCCCGCCAGCTCCTTGCCTTCCCCTCCAGCCGGCTGGGGCAGAGCGGAGGAGCTGAACCAGCTCTGCCTGGAGCGCAGACCTAGGGGAGGGCCAGATCCTACTCGGTTTCATTGCAATACTTTTCCCACCAGCTATTTTCTCACTGTTTTTCTTTTGTTGGTAAGCAGAGTCCAGCCTGGTCTCACTCACGCTACAGTAGTCGAGCATGATGGAGAAGGCTGAATATTAGTCTCTCTCCCTTCTGCCCTTTCTAGCCCGTTGTGCCCAGGGTGGGGAGAGTTAGCTGGTCCCTGGGGGTGGAGGTGGCTGCCTTGTGCTTTCTAATAAAAGCCTTTCCCTTGCGCCCAGTACTACTGCTGCAAGAAAGATGAATCTGATGAGGAAGAGGAGGAGGAGGAGGAGGAGGAGGAGGAAGAGCCTGACCTTCCCGCTCACTCGCGTCTCGGCACTTGCAATGCCTGCAACTCTCGCATCGTGGACGGCCAGGGCAGCCCCGCGCCCCCACCCAACGAGCTCAACCAGCAAGGGGCTCACAACTACTGCCCGACCTGCTCCCCCTACGGCTCTCCCTTTTACATACGGACTGCCGACATGGTGCGCAATGGGGGCGAGAGGATCACCTACACGCCGACGTGCTACAAGGAGATGGGGCAGCCCATCAGCATGGCGACCCTCCAAAGCTACCCGGTGAGCCGCCACGGTGTCTTTCGCGAGAGCTTCCCAAACCCGAGGGCTATCAGTACAGAAGTATAATCACCATCGTCACTAGCACAGGGTGCTCCAAGCAGACGCCTGCTCGAGGGAAGGGGCTTTTCACTTGTATTTGTGGGGGTTCGTGCAGAGAGGACCCCGTAGTCCAGTCCAAGACCAGCACAGTCCTCCGGCTGAACTGCCCGGCACTGCTAAGCTTTATGGGTAAGAAGATGAGAGAGACGTCAAAGGACGACGTTAAAGCAGCAATCCTTGAACCTGTAATAAGTGTAATTATTATTCTATTCTGTCTCCTGAAGGGACTTGTCTAATGAGGGCTATGTACAGTACAAACTAACTTAACTATCGAAGACTTCCCTGACCTTCCAGACTTCCCAAGCCTAGAAGGAGGTCTTTGGTATCTACACTAAGCAACCCTACCTGTCACTACCCAATACCCACAGCCTCCAGTACGGTCGAACTGAGCGCACAGAGCAACGCTTGGCATCCTGGCAGCCGCTGCCTCCAGTAGTGACAGCAGCAACAGGGCAGAGGGAAGGAGAGAGGCGGAAAATCCCAACAGCGAGTGCTCCGAACTGATGGAAGAGCAAATAAGCAAAGGTTTTGATTGTTCTTCTCTCCTCATACTGCATTAGTTTCCATTAATGGTTAGCTTTTGTATTAGAATGTAAAATAGGACGCGCTCTCTCCCACTCGCTTTGGTCTTTACACGCGCTGAAGAAGTTAAAGAGGAAACGAATTTAGATCACTGCAAGGGGAGGTGAAGGAGCTGGCAAAACTGCTCACATACACTAATGGACACGGGTTGATCCTTCTGCTTCCGAAGCCCCCATGCCTTTTAATCTTCACAAGCTTTCTTAGGAGTGATTTTAACTTGGGCCAATAAACATGTCAAGATTTTACGTACGGCAAGAATTGCATCCTTAAGCAACTGCGGTCTTGATCACCCTCAGCTTTCAAAGCCCTCTGATTACCCTGATGCTTCTGGCAAAATGGAAGAAAGATTGTGTTTAGGACAGCTTTTGTTTTTGACAGCAACAGAGCAGACCACCAGGTCACTCTTCCTCCTTTGATGGGACCACGACCTCCAAGGGGCACCCCTCCTTTCCCCTCTGAGGAAGAGGATGCAAGACCTGAGCCCGGGTTCATCACCTCTGCGGCCGGTAATGACAACTCGGCAGTGACACTGTCTTTCTGCAAAAATGAATGTGGGAAAGTTCCTTCTTCCTCCATAAATCAGATTAGGTGAAAAATTACTAAAAAGGCATCTCCGTCATTCACAGGCACTTCCATAGCAACCAAAGCAGGATGGGTCTGCTGAGCACTTCTCATTCATGGTAGGGAGGAGGGACCCAGACAGCAAAGATTCCCACAGCCTTACAGATGTCATTAGAAGTAACAGCAGGAAAATGCTTACCCTGCTTTTGCAATATATAGTAGAACTGCTCAGAAATGAGAGTGGGGCTTTTTTCCACTAGTACAGTTTTGAAATTGGCCTGCTGCTCACAGAAGGATTTGGACTGACTGGTCTTAACTTCCCTATTTATGCACAGCTAGAGTAGGACTCGGTATGAAGGCACACGTCGTCTGAGCTTCAGGCAAAAGGCTACCTTACACTTTAGACTGGTTCATGCCTTGGCACCTCTGCTCAGACTACCAGAAGAAAGGGAGCCAAAGGAATACTAAATATAATAGCAGTACTTGTAATCCAAACATATTTCCTCAGGCCCCATTTACACGGCCTTTTGTCCAACATTATTCACTATCTCCCCCAATCTCTAGACCAGAAAGACACTGTATTTCCATTATCCTGAGACTCAGTCTAGCTGCATCTCTTTTAGAGTCTCCTTCAATTCTCCCAATAGTGATAGAAGGTCTTTAAACGGTCTCTCATGTTGTGGGCAGGAAGAAGAAAATCATACTGTAGCGACAAAGTGCTCTGGATCCCACTAGCTGATAGTCTGTAGCTCCTACTGCTGCCTGTCCAGACAGTACTCTTCCCAGATAATATAGTCTCTAACTGTTCTTCTTGGCTAACTCAGCAAATCCTATCTTTTCCTGTTAGAGCATCTGCCCAGCTAAGCCTCCACCCCACTAGGAGCCACAAGAAGTTCAGGTGCCATGGTGTGAGCTGCAGGCTCCCACCTGCACTGCTCTGCCAGGCAGCCCTGAAGCTCCATCTCGGCCAAGGGTGCAGAACCAGCTCAAGGATGCTACGTGTCCTGGCATCCAATTCTACCTCTTGGTGCGAAGCAAGGCTTCCCACCGCCACGGCAGTATGTGCTGGCCTGTTGCCTTGAGAGGGTGGTGATAACACACCAGGCTCTTGCATCTGTGGGTCATCCTTCTGGTAAAAGGCCTCCATAGCCAACCTTCTGGAAGGCAACCATAATGTCATCTTCATCACATGCAAATTAAGTATAACCTCTTGCCAACCACCAAGGTGCCAAGACTGGCAAGGCAATTCCATAGTAGCTGGATGGCCAAGACGAGGATTATCCTCAAAGCCAACATACGAAACCCTGGGCCTGACGCATCTACAAATGAATGGGTGAGTCTAAAAGGGCAGGAACCATGGGCGACCCAAGCTTTTGGGGAAGCTTTTGGGGAAGGTGGAGGAACAGGAAGGGGGAGGGAGGGATCTCCAGATTTTTTTCCACTTCCAATTTCTCCTCTTACTATTCTCTGTCGTTGTTGCTCAGCTGTGGGTCCAAATGCAATGTCAAAAATAAATGAGGACTTTGAAGTACAAAAACAGGAGTGGTTTCTGTCCTTTGGCAGGCAACACAAAATGGGATTTATGCAGTGTTGCCCCGGAAGCTGTCCTGACTCAAGGATTACTCCTTCCCACCCTTCCTGCTTTTGCTTTCCTCCTTCTCCTGCCCTTCTTGCTCCCTCACCTCTAGACTAGGTGCTGCAGCCCAAAAATGCACTCTTTTACAGTTTAGCTCTTTATTGTGACACAGAATTGTTTGGTGTGTTTTGAATATTGACCTTGTAGTAGGAAAATCCGCAGAGCAGAGTAGCTGCTGCTACCATCTGGGCCCTGCTGCAGGCTGGTCTCTGTGCCCCACTGCCTCCAAGAAGGCCTTCCTCTGTTGTGGGCCTAGCTGGAGCATGGAGGAAGAGCTCTTCAGAGCTGACTGACAGCAGGGATAGGCTTTCCCAACTCACTTCTCAGTAGCTTTTTCAGAACTGGTAGTCTCAAGTAAAAGCCCCTCAGTCGAGAGGGGACGGCGATGACTAAGTCCTAAAAGCCTTCCTTGCTGAGCAGGCTGGTCTACAGGGACTAGCTCCATGGCCAAGCCAAGCAGGGTGGCTTCATGTGGTAAAGTCTGCTTCTGGGGGCTCTTGCCCCTGAGCTTGGAAGGAAAGTACGGCCTGACAGCAGTCAGGGTGACTTGGTCCGACACGACCGGCAGCAAGCCTTCCTGTAGTACCAATGAGAACACAGCTTCACCTTCAGCACCAGCACACAGTTGGCCGTCGCTTTGTCTTCACAGTCGTCTTCTAGGTGAAGACAGAAGCACCCACAGAAGGGGTTAGAGCAGAGACTTGCTTCCCCCAGCTGAGAGCTAGATAGAGCAAAGGGCTCTCAAAGGCTCCTCTCTCTCCCGGCCCTCCCAGTCTTACCTGGTGCCTCTGTGGGGCATGGCTGGAGTTGGCAGGTCTGCCTGGCTTCTGGTTTGGAAGTGGGGTCACAGCCCTGACCCAGAGCCTCCCCTTGGTAACACTTTACCTCGCGCAGTCGCATACCGGCCCCACATGTCTTGCTGCACTGTTGGGATCAAGAGAGAGAGGAAAGGGCTTGTGAGAGGCGTTTTCTTTCTTTCCTACAGGTCCTAAGCGCTTCTTTTCAGTTAGGCCTCCCAGTCCCCTGCTTTGGGGACTGTTCCTGAGGAGGACACACTGGTTTCAAACACGCTCTCCCCTCTTGTTGCTGGAGGAGAGCCAGTCTGAGCTAGGGGTCAGGCAGGGTGAGGAAAGAGTTTGCTTTCACCTCTTTAATGCAACTTAGAATGGTTTTTGCTTTGTGCAGCGATGCTGTGAATGAGGATGGACAAAACAGCTGCTGTGAGCTAGCCCCAGTGTCCCCTGTTCCCTGATTCCCTAAATGCTTAACAATTAAAATGAAGGGAAAGCAGGAGAGGAGGACAGAACACGGACTCCTAGCAGAGGCAGGGGACAGGGCTGTATTGGCTGCAGCATGGTCATAGTCTTGCCTGAGGCAATAATCTACATGCTCTAAGTTTTTCTTCAGCTGGCAGGTGCCAGTCCCTCCATCTGCTGTCTGGTCTGCCAAAGAACAGGGCTCATGGGCCTGTCAGGACCTAATGCAGCACACAGCAGAATGGGACAGTACAAATCCTCAGCGCTCCGAGCAGTTCAAGCTCTGTCAGCCTGGAATATGAGGCCCCCACCTCTCTCTGCATCCCCGAGTCCTACCTGAGACCAGGAGGTAGTGAACCATGTTGAACAGGGTCTCTTGAAACAGGCAGCTTGCTCCTCAGGCTTCTGAGAGGCCTTACAGCGCTTCTCAGGGTACTCCCTGTACACGCCATTCTCCAGGCCTGCACACAAGACAATCCGGGTCTTCATTCCTCGCCCACAGGTGGCATCACACTGAGGAAGAGAACGTAACAGCCAGGTAATGAATGATGCTCCTCAGCTGCAGAGCAGCAGGCTGCAGGTAAGATAGCATCTTGTTCAGAAGCAAGTTGCTTAGTGCTTTTCCTAACATCAGTGCAGCTGGTGCTTCCCAGGTCACAGGAGCGATGGGTGTCTGCAAAAGAGCTGAATTTCCTGGGAGAGCGGGAACAGGAGCTGGTATTAGTGTTTAGCCAGCACTGGGGCTGCCAAATTCAGCTTGGCTGGCCTGAAAGCACTACCACAAGGGACCTGAGCAGCCGAAGCAAGACTACAAAAGTTCTTTGTGTCTTATTTCACATACATCCATGTCCTCAAAGACCACGTAAGCCAGGCACACAATAATGTATTTGTGCAGCAGCTGTCGTTGACATCTGGGTGCAATGGCAAGCTTTGCTTGGGGCCAAGGGTGCACTGTAGGTCACTTGTATGGACATGTACTGCTCAGCCCAAAGTCATACTGGCCTAGGTGGGAGGGCTCAGTGTCTTAGAACAATGCTGGGAGAAGCATGCAGGCAGCAGAAGGAAGGATCTGATTCTAGCTTTGCTCTGCTCCCTGATGGCAGTTGCTGGTTTGAGATGTCACTGCTTTGTGCCCTTCTCCACCATGCCAGGGCTAGCACAGCCACAGAGGGAGGAGGCTGATTTGCATCCCCTCTTAGTGACCCTGTGAATGGCTTATCAAGAGCGAATCAGCTGCCCAGGAGACTATGGCAAAGGCAAAGAAGCTAGCACGCACCGCACCGGAGCGAGGAGCTCAACTGGCCTTTCAGAGTTCAGGCTGAATTTAATAGCCTAGCAACAGCTGAAAAACTGCACTGCAAAATGGTGAGTGACCCACACTCCAGACCAGGACAAGAAGGGGTTACAGGACTGCCACAAGTCCCCAGATTTAATCAGTTTGTGTAGTTGCCAGTGCTGGAGGGAGACTCAGCTGAATGCTGTCAACAGGTAAGAAGGGGCGGCAAAAGGAGAGCAGGGTTTTACCTATGGATGGAGGGGACAGGGCTTGGCTGTTTCGCTGCAACCTCTAGAAAGCTAGCAACCTTCTTCCCTAGTGATTTATGATTCCCTATATTGCTTAGGGCTTTATAAGGCAAAGCCCAAATTTAACAAACATATCAATATGCTCCTTCTGGAGATTTGGACCAGCTTGTAACTGGAAGCCCAATCCTGCAAGGCCTTGAGCAAAAGAGGGGGAGTAGAGCGGCAGAGACTCATCACTCACCCATAGGTGGAGAGAGGCAGATGGGCCATGCTCACTGCACTATGAGTCCTGAGACAAATAAATACTCACAGGCTGGATATGTTTTCCAGGGCAGGGACCTGGGAGGTGGTTCAGGTTTATCTCCAGCTCTTATTTTATCAGAGATGAGGCTGATTTTGCTGGAGCTTCCTATTTAGCGGTGGGACCAAAACCTCAGGGGTGTGGGCGTAGGTTTTAGTTGAAGAGCTCTGCTGTGGTTTCTGTAATTGCCAGGTCCTTGCTGGGATTCAGGGGTGGGAGCGGAAGATGGTTCCTCAGGACGTTGCTGCCCTCCAATGGAGGTCCCTGTGAAGTGTGGCAGGCAAGTGCCACATACTTTGGGGTGGCCTACAGGGTGTGGGGGAACAAGCAGGAGCATCACTCCTTCCCTCCTTCTGGAAGGAGGTAGGACAAAGGCATGAATCTGCAGTAGGAGGTCACAGCGTACAGCTCTGCTCTCCCAACAAAGCTGGGTGCCCACCACCTCCTGTGGGATGTGGGGTTGAAAGAGACCCCCGATTCAGCAAGGGCAGCTGTGACCTCCTGCTCCTGCTCTCTCTCTCTCTCTCTCTGGAAGCTCAGGTTAAACAGGCTGCGTGTCTCCTCCCTCTCTGCTGAGGGAGGCAAATACTGGAGATGGACACTCATGGGAAGAGGTATGAGGCCCTGGGGCTGTGCCTGGCTTTACCTGGTCCCACTCCTGCTCCACCCAGTGCGCGGGGCAGTTCTTGTCACCACACGGATGGACAGCCAGTGGTTTGGCAGCTGGGTCACACTGTGAGTCGGAAATCACCTTGCCCTCCAGGTTGCGACACGCGATGAAGCGGCTCATCCGTCCCTCACCACACGAACCTGAGCACTTGGAGGAATAAAGGGCATTTATACACAGCTGGAAGCAGGCAGGAGGAGAGGAGGGGTCAGTGGGTGCCAGAAGACCTGAATCTGAAGTCTAGTTCTGCTACTGGGGCTGTGGCACATGACCCCAGCAGTTTGTAGAGACATGTCAGGTCAGGGGTTCCCATTTGAGCCCCTTGTCTCCAGGTGCCAAGAGCTGCCCAGATTTTTTGAATGGATTTTGTATTTGCTCACCTCATGGCTGACCAAAATTTACAGTGCATGGACATGCAGAGGCAAAACTGCAGAGCAACACAGTTCCTCTAGCTCAGCCTCTGCCAGACGAAAGCCGAAGGAGAGCAGCAATGTGTCTGCCCCATCTGCTCCAGAGCTGATACCTCCCTCCTGCTGGCCTGCGTCACCTGCGCTGGGATCAAGGACAGGCAGCCCCTCTGCACTCACCGGGCCCCAGTCTGAGGCGGTCCAGTGGCGGTCGCAGGGCGGGCCTGTGCACACCTTTTCGCTGCTGGGCTTCCGGGACTCGTCGCAGAGGGGTGTTTCCACTGAGCACCGCACCTCCCTCTTCATCATCCCTTGCGTACCACACCGGGCCAAACACTGCAAGGGCCACACGGAGTCAGAAGCAGGGAACAAGGGGGAAGAGCAAAGGAGAGGAAACACAAGGTGCAAATGCCTCCTTCCATTTTGCTCCTGCTCCACTAGCAGAGACAGAAAGGACCTGAGCAGGCAAAGAGAAAGGTAGGTCGGTCTCTATCTCTGCAGCTTGCTTGCTTTGGGTCCTAGCACTCCAATGCTCTGAGATGCTGAGGCCCGGACCACTATATAGAGTCCTTGGGCAGTTCTCCTGCCCCAGTCCCACGCAAGCCATGGGAAGTCAACGGAAGGGATTTATTTGAAGATGTGGGCTTTAGCGTCTCTCTGTCTCCCCGCCACAGTTTCCCCATCCATCCTCAGTTCAATTTCCCTGGCTGCTTACCTCTGGGAGCAAAGGCCCTTTGCTGCCTACCTCAGACCACTCGGAGAGCTCCCACTGGGGCCCACAGGCCTTGTTCTTGCAGGCTTTCCTCTCCATGGGCCTGGTCAGGCCAGCTGACTCACAGAGGTCATCGTAAACAGAGCTGTCGAAGCCTGGAGCCAGCATCTTCCAGCAACGCACAGTTCGGTACTGATAGCCCTCTCCACAGGTCCTGGAGCATTCGCTCCACCGGCTGGTCTCCCACCTCCACAGGCAGTCCCCAGGAGAGAAAGCACAAAGCAAAACCCGGGTAAGGGGGCCGAGGGACGCAGGGTGGCTAGGGTTTGTCTGCAGGCCTGGGACTCCCTGCCCCAGTAACTGCTGGTACAAATCTGTTCCTCGTGCACGTGTCTGCGTTAAGGAGAGCTGGTCCTGAGAGCCGACTTTGCCCTGAGCAGGTAATGCAGGCAAAGCAAATTCCTTCCCTCTTTTTGCTTATGCGGCGATACAGGGGTTTAGCTGTTTAAGTGTACCTTCAAGTCCAGAAACGGCTATATATTTTGAGAAGAAATTGATGCTTACAAAGATATGCTGTCCCCATGGACAGCCAATTGCTCGGGCTGTGACGGGCTCTACTAGGTTATTCAACCAGCGCTCCCCACTGTGAGACTCTGGGGTGACCCCCAGCGCCTAGAGCGAGATAGGCCTGTGAGTGATGGGGCCATGCCAGCGCCACCTTTGCTCGGCAGATGGGGATGTGTGACTTGGGGTCAGTCATTTCCACTCACCTAGGCTGGCAATCTCTCCCTGTGCAAAATTCATGAGTAGGTTCTGGTCGCATTAGGGCATCGCAGTACGTTTCATCCACTTCCACTCCATCGTATCGGACACACATCGCATAGGAGGCACTGATACCTGCTGGACAATCAAGAACTTTTCTTGGTCAGGCTCCATTAGATCCAAAAGCCTCCTCCCACCATGATTAGATTATTGGAGAGTGCTCACTGCATCTGACCCTCTATCTGCCATTTTCAAAATACCAATATTCTCTCCTTCAACAGCCAAAAAGGACCTCCCGTGATCAGTCTCCTAGAAGAGGCACGAACTAAAAGGCTAAGGCAAAAATCAGCCAGATGCTATGGGTAGGTTTCCTTTCTCCTCAAATTCCCCTTAGAGCTATCGTTCTAACTTCCCATCCTGAGAAGGAAAATAGATGCCGAAAATCATCCTCCAAAGCATGGAACTTCAGGCTGGCACCACTGCAAAAGTCAATCACTTCAAGATGCCATTTTCAGACCAACAGAACTTGAAAATGTCCTGTTTTTCCATCAAAACACATCTGCCCTCTCCAGTTACCATACGTGGTGTGGACCAAATGGCAAAGAAGTTGGAAGCCAGCGTGTGGATTCAAATTACAGGAGGTTACTTATTCGGCCCAATGAATCTTACTCAGCAAATCACTGCCAGTGGGAGTCAAGCTCGGCTCGTGTCACACCCAGACCCAAACCAAGCTTTCATCATGCTCTATCTGTCATTTTCAAGCAGGCCTGATACTAGTGGAAGATGTGAGACCTGGAGAACAGACTCACTGTTAAAGGACTGTGGTACTATCCAGAGCTCTGGGTCCTGACTGTGACCGGACAAGATTAGTTTCTTCCCCATTACCATTTACTGCAATTGCAGACGTGGGTATCAGATGTGACAGCTTTTCTGATATGGATGTGTCTCCAGGGGAAACCAGCCTTGAAAATAAGCACCAGGTCTTCAAAGCTATTTAGGTGCCTACCTTTAAGAAACTGCTCCTTTGTGATTTTGCAGAAGACAGGGAACAGGCTCAGTGCTGTAAGCACTGTGGAGGGTCCAGATCTCAGCTAGACTAGAACTGAGGACTTTCCAGCGAAGGGCTGTGAAGCTCTAATGCCAAACCTACCGGATGTGCATGTGGAACTGCAAGGGGCATAAGCTGAGATCTTCCACCGATACATGTCAGCCAAGCTGATGTCATCATGGCCCACGGGGCTCACATCAAACTCGTTGCTGTGGAGAAAGGAGAAATATGAGCTAAAGATGAAATATCTACTGCAGGACGCCAAATGCAAGTGGTGTTAATTTCTTCCTGCCATTCCTTGGGGAACGAACCCCGTGGTTCTGCTCTCCATCCTTATCTCCCCGACCTTGGGCAAGACAGATCCACTGACAAGCTGAGAGTGTAAGTCCCTGATCTGCCTCCTGAATTCAACCAGCAAGGCTGTGACTAGCCATGGGTCAACATCCCTCTGAGAGGGCGTCTAGTGAGACTCGTAGACATCACGCTCTTTGGAACCTGTGGAACGACCACTTTGAAAGGTATCACATTAGGTTCAAAAGGGATGCCCAAGCAAGATCCCTTTTAATATTGCATAATGTGGTGGGGAAAGCTCGCATGTGGCTTGCCAGGGATGTTTACAGTTGGCCCTCAGTTTCCTGTCAGATTTACTGAAGTTAGAGAAGCATGTATGTGCGGAGGAATGGGACAGAATGGGGCAGCATGCGAGGGTAGGGCTGTTTATGTGACGTGCTACAGACTCTTGGCCATCTTTACAATCAGGTTAGTGTTGGCCTCACAGGTCCCTCAGAACCCATTTAAATGGATCCCTCCGAAAAAGGGGGACCTGCAAATATGCTCTGGGAGCTCTGTGTCAGGCCAGGAGTTGTGCAAATCAATCTTTAGTGGACACACCATTAATGAAGCATTTATGACAGCTGCCATAAATAGACACTGGAAAATGGGGACACCAAGGACAGCAGTGAGACTACCAGAGGACTGGCTCAACCCTCCCTCCCCAGCTAACCATGCTCCTGCTTTGCCCGGGATATCAAGTGCCACCTTTCAGTGCCAGGGCCTTGCAGAGGCTCTGCCTGGCTGATGTCCACGGTAGTGCTGGCACTTAGCAGAGGGCTCTCCACAGACGCCATCAAGCTGTAGTTAGCTGCTTCCCCCTGACTCCCAGGGAACGTCTCCACCTTTAAGTCCTCCGGCAAGTTCTTATGGGCCGGTGCTTTGTGAAGGCCCTGTGGCCATTGGGCAGGCAGCTCGCTCCATAGCCCTGCTGTGGAGTTCCTCGGGGCCAGCCTTGCAGCCAGGTGCTGCAGCTCCCTACAGAAGGCAGTGTTGTGAGAGTCCCGGTGACACAGCCGCCTGAAGAGACGAAGCCTGGAGGATGCTAAGCGGCTGTTCTCTGAGAGCTCAGGTCTCCTCATGCTGTACGGTATGGCCGTGCTGATGGAAATCTGATTGAATCTGAGGGCTGGAGGAAAAACATGGGGATGCTTATGAGGGCAAAATATCCTCTACCATGAGTGTTTTAAGGAGACTGAGGGCCAAACAGGTCTTCAACCACCTTGGATGGCTTATACTTTTAGCGTGTGGTTTAGTGGTACCTAATACGGCAAAAAATACTGAGTATTTGGCCTCAAGATCGTAAGTTGCTATCAGGGCCTTAAGTGCACCAATAAGCCTTAATTGCCCTGAGTAGCCTCACCTGGGATCCTCACATACACTCTCTGCCCATGGCCCAGGAACTCCATCATTTAAGCTCAGGCCTGAGCCTTTAGTCCTGGCCTGAGCTATGTTGTAGGTGTACTTTGTTCCCAGTCCTGTTCCTTAATTGTATGGGTTTCCCAGATTGACCTCAGACTTTTTACCTTGCTTTCACCTGGTGATCACTGGACTGTCGCTAGGATCTGCTGCTGTCACCACCCTGCCCTGCTTGCCAGGCTCAGGTGCCGTGGGATTGCCCCTTCCTGGAGAGGGCACTGCCATTGTGCCTCTCCAGAGGCCTGCATTGTGGCTGCCCTCAGCTCCCAGCTCCCCTTTCCTTAGGGAGCAACTGGCCCTTGCTGCTCCCTGGCAGTCTCTGCCCATGCTGTTAATCATCTTTTCCTACTGTCTAATCATCTTTTCCTACTGTCTGCCCTGATGGGAAAGCCACCCTAGATTCCAAGAAGACCAGAGCTGAATGTTGTGGGATGTCCACTTTCAACAGGTGAAGATGGGAGTCAAGGAAAAACAAAGCAACCAACCCAACTCTGTTTCTCTTCCAGTTGCTGCTGCCTCCTCCTCTTCTTCCTCTCTTGCTGTGTTTGCATGGTAGACCTTTCTTATCTGGAAGTCATACTTCTCCTTCTCTCCACCTTGCTCCCAGCCCCAGTCCTGAGGCTGACTGGTTGAGTTAGTCTGGAAGAAATCCTGCTGGCTGAAGCCTAAATCTTCATGCCCTTCTCCTAGGGAAAGCTGTTTACTGGTGTCACCTGGTGACAGGGAGAGCCATGTGCCGTTGAAGTCCTGGGCAGCTCTGGAGTTGGCTGGAATGGGTTGGTTCTGCCTGGTCTCTGGTAGGTGGTGATAGAGAGGTGCGTCAACAGCAGGGGCTGCAGTTCGGAGAGCTGGTGTTCGTGGCACAGTGTAGTCATAAGTTATGTGCGGCATTTTCCCATTAAAGTTATAGTACTGGAGGTAACAGGGAAAGAAAACGAAACCCTTTTTATTTTAAGGACGTATATTTCACAGCGATCTCTTTTAATCACATCCACTTTGTGATGGATGTTGAGGAGACAGCATTCTCACAAACCCACGAGGAAACCCCCTCAAGACATTATCTGGCTTCCTCAGCTGCCTCCATGCTTGACTTGGGAACTAGATTACTATTCCCTTTGTCTGAGGGAGGCTCACGATTCCGGGAGCGCTAAAATGGACACGCAAGACAGGAAAGCCTAAAACTAGCTCCCCACATACCATGGCATTCAGAGACTGGTTGGTGGGACCGTGAGCTATGATATATTCCAGCCCATCTGAGTTCAGGCTCGAGGGCCGCCGGTACTTGAAGATCGTGCCAGCTACCCTGAAGTTCTGGGGGTTGTCAATGATGGAGTTGCCGTTGAAGAAGAAATTCCCGGATTCATCTGCAAGTGCTTCAAAGAGAGAGAAAAGGGACACATGTGACCCTCCACGCAGAGCAGTGGGACTGCAATGGCACTGAGGAGAGCAGACAGTTCATCACTGGGAAAAGCCCTCTAGAAAGCAAAGAACTGCAGGCCCTTCAGCGTTCATTTTCCATGCCTGGTCAGATCAGTGGTATCCAATGCCTGGTGCTTTGATTTTCCTCTCCAACAAGAGCACAGATGTCTTCATGGCAGGGACTGCTCATAGTGAGCTTGGTTTCCAAATGCTTGAGATGTGATAGCCTTGGTTTATGGAGCGATGAAGTGCCCCTAGGCTGCCCTGGAGATGTTCGTTGATCCAGCTCTCCCACAGCACAGATGAGGGTGAGCAGAGCCCTCCTCCCACCTCCCAGGCAGTAGAACTTGGATCTCCATGTCCATCCCGCTACTCTGCTTACCCAGGATGTTTTCTGTTTTCCTGCGCTCAATGATGAGGATGTCTGTGGCACCAGCAGGGATGTTGGTGATGAACGTGTAACCTGAGGAACGGGAACAGAACAGAGGGTCAGAAAAACATGAAGACGGAATAAAAAGCACTAGGTAACCAAAGCAGTTCATGGGATAAGTGTGCATGCAGCAGGGCAGTGTTGCCCTTCAGGGACAGGATGCTAATGGTGTACATGCATGTCGTGCCAGCCCATGAGCTCTAATCCCAGCTCTCCTCTGAAGTCTCTTTATGTATCACTACCACAGGTCTCTTAAGTCGCAGTCTGAGCACTGCTGGGGAGGGGACAGGAAGGAATTGAACAAATAGCCTGAGGTGCGTGAATAAATGTACTCTCATGCTCTTTCTGCCAAGAGCACAGAAAAAGCTTACCACTGACCAGGACTGATGCTGAGCACTGGAGGGAAAAAGAGTGTGAGGAGGGACTGGAGGGAAAAGGAGGTCTCCTCAGCTCCTGACTCAATAGAGTTTATCTTAAGAGGAGCAGGAGTTAGGTCTTGCCCATCCTGTGAGATTTCAGAGGACTGGAATGAGAGGCCAAGGATTGTATCGGTCCTGCTAGAGGGGTTAGCACCATAACTCCTGCTATAGAAAGAGGCCTGAGCGCTTCTCTGGTCTAGTGTCTGTAGAGAACGAGGTATACTAGTGGAGCAACAACATGAAATGATGTTCTGGAACATCCCAAAACCACTGTTAGTTAATTACTAATGAGCATGGCCACACAGCAATCTCCTCCTCCTGTGGGTGGAGGAACGGACCATGAGGTTACAAGGGACTGTCCCTCAGCTGTACCAGCTGTAGGGCAGGGGAAAGCAGGAGACCAAGTGCAGGAGTTGAAACGAATGCTGTGACCCTCAACATAGGAGCTTAAGCTTCCCATGAACTCGTAGCACAAATAAAAGAAGATTCATTGACCTGTTCATATCATCTGACACGGGCAGGATGCCCAAATCAATAGGAACAAATAGATCTCCAGCTGCTTCCTATCATAAAGAGCTGAAGGTAAACCTTGCCAACTTAATACCTAGCACATCAAACCAATGTCCTCTGATTAAGCTGAAAGGACAAAATACAGGCATTTTAGCAGGGGTGGCATTCTTCAGCTCTTTCCACCGAGCACCTGGGAATCTCCTACCCAGGTTCAGACCAGCCACCCTCGATGTCAGCTGGTGGTAAGAAGCAGCAGGTGAAGTCTCTGGACTGCGGTAGCAGGGAGTACCTATCTGTGAGATTCCCTTTCGGAAGCTGCCCGAGACACGGTGGCAAGTGCTGCCGTCCCCTCCACACACCCTGCATCTGTCCATCGTCCGGGGTGAATACAGGCTCCCATCGCACCCAACTGGCTGCAAAGAGTGAAGGAAAAAAAAAAGAGAGGCGTTCCTGGGGCCAACTCATCTCTACAGGTCAGGGTCTTTTCAAGGAAACGCTACCATGCTCTTTAGGAGAGGTTCTGGGTCTGGAGGTAGGGTAGCTTGGAGAGGAATGATGAATGAATGAATCCAGCAGCTGCAGAAATTCACCTGTGTAACTTGTGACTGTCTACCTTGTGCCCCTGAACATGGGACGGGGGCTTGCTTGTGGAGATAAATGGAGTAAGAATTGGGGAAGCTGTTTTGGTTCCTTCTGTCTCCGGTTTTAGGCCAATCCTCCTCCCTGAAACAGTGACATACACCATCACCCCCCCAGGAGATGCTGCATCAAAGGCAAGTCCATCTGAGGGTGTAAGGCTCCTCTCTATGTAATGCTGTATACACCCATCCTCCATCCTTGCAATACAAGGGAAAAATCACATGAAAGATTTTTGCGATGTTGGATGACTATGAAAACAAATTTGGGATTCTAATCTTCTCTGTGCTGGGAGGAAAGTGCTGTCACTCAGTGGGAACGTGTGGATGTATCTATTGTCCTCTGCATGAGCCTCTCTGCTCTGTTCTAGTCCACAGGCATCCACAGGTACATGTAATTACTCCATGCCAGGCCTCAATTTCATTTCCCTACTGGGGCCCCTGGTCTTGCGATGACCAGGAGTTCTAGCCATGCGCTTATGCTCCCGACTCCCGCACTACTTCCTTCCAGGGCCTCACCTCACACTTCCCATTGATGCAGACCCCTTGATAGGTCCTGTCCTTGCAGGAGGTACCATCCTGTGCCTGGGCCATCAGTTGCCTCTCTCCGCTCTGGGTGGTGCATTGGAGGTCACATGGCTTGTTGGAGATACTGGTGTAGTCATCTTAAGGAACAAAGAAAGAAAATCAGCAGGCAGGTCAAGGTGATCAGAGGTGAACAGTAAGGAAGGGGGCTTTCCTCTTATCTACATTGCTGATTGGATGTAATCTGGGATGTGCTTGCTTCCCAAGAGGAGACCCCAAGGCTACAGATCTTGTGGTGGTAAAGGGGTCATGGTATGAGGCTGCAGCTGGGGACCATGCCTAGCGGAAGGGAAGAAGCAGAAGTTGGCCTTCGTGGCAAACCCTCTTCCTTGCCACAGCCTCTCCCCTAAGCGTTGCCATTCCCAGTGCCAGACATGGGGCTCCACATCAGTGGATCCAAGGCCATGCATAAATACACGAGAGCAAGCAAAACCTGTGAGAGAGGTGCCAGCTGTGTGAGGCTGTGGCCAGCTACATCCCATCCAACTGAGCAGCTTAACCTAGAGGTGCAGATGTTCTGTGTCCCCTCTGCAGTTAATTGAAAGAGGAAAACAGGCAGGTCTGCAAAGAGAGTCGGATCTCAGGTGAGCTGAATCTGGGCCTCAGGAGCCATCTGACAACCCATGTGAAGTAATTTGGTGGTCCCCTGTCTCCTCTGTGCAGGAAACGGTTGTGCGTCCTGTTCGGAATAACCCACCACCAACCCCAGGGGAAGGCATGCTGGGTGACAGAGGCAGCCAAGCTGGCAGAAGGCCTGAAAAGAGTGAACACGCACTCTACCAAGATGACTGCTGTTTAGCCAAGACAGTTCAGAGAAGCCTGTCTGCACACTGGTGCTTGCTGAGGTAGGATCCAAAGTGGGTGCAGATATGGTGAGAGAGGAGGCCTGGCTGGGTGGAGTGGCTCTGTGAAGAGACAGGGAACGATCCCTTCAAAGCAGGGAGCATAGGGAAACTCTTCCAAACCAGGCAGCAGTGCCCATCTCTTGTCCCCAGTGACCTTCCCCCCTCCCATCCTGTGTCTGAGAAGATCCTGCGGGTGCTTTCTCACCCTGATCTCCTGCCCCTGTCTTTGTATGGAGCTATGGAGACTCACCTGGATAAAGGGGTGTCCAGTGGTAGTAGCGTTTCCCAAAGGCTTTAGCATTGAAACTGGAGCACTGCTGTTGTTTGAAGCTCGCTGTGTTGGCTGGGCAGGGCTGTGGAGGGGGGAATAAATATGATCAAAAGCTCCCTATGGCATAGCGATGCTTGTGACAACTGCTTGTCCCAACTACATTCTTGGAGGATGCATGTGTCCTGTCCACCCTGGAAGAGGGCAATCAGTGCTGGTCTTTGAGGTGCTGCAACAAGGCCAGGCCCTCACCTCTAAGAGCCCCTCAGACAGCTGTATTTAAGTCCTGCAAAAATTATTTGCAGGAAAGGAAAAAGCATATTGGAGTAACTTCTCCTAACAAAACATGTTTTTATATCCTTTTCCTCACCTTTCAGGCACAGAGAGTACAACTGTTTCCCATGTGTTCAAAGGCATACTGGCAACTGCCCCAGGAGCGGAGCACCCCTTGTCAGCACTCCTCTGACAGACCGGTCGTACCCTGAGTGCAGGTGCTCTCGCAGCTCCCAGTGTGGCACCCTGAGTCCCACATGCCCTGGGGAGGACCCGGCAGTGCTTGAAGCGGTTCTCACCTGCTGCTGGCACAACTGGTAGTGCTTGGCTTGGCCAACACACATGGTGCTGTTTGTTCCGTGGGGCATCTGGAGCCTGCAAAGTAGAGAGCGCGAGCAGTAACGCGCTGGAGGACTGTGAAGTACTAAGATACTGAGGATGACAGAGAAGTCAGGCCTGGCATAAGGTAGGCATTTAATCAGCACAAACCCTTCCGAATCTGGATTACTCAACATTTCCTGTGAAACCCATTTTCAGTGCTTTTGGGTGGACTTTGATTTTAGGTTACTCTTGCTTTGTGGCAGGCTGAGCAGAAGAGGAGCAACTGCAGTATCACTATACTGTCTCCTTTCACCTCTGAGCTCTAGAAGGGTTGATGTGACAAAAGGTCAATAGACGCTAATGATCCACCATTCCCCTGGAAGCACCCATGATTTGCAGTGACCAGGGATTTTTTTCAGGCCGTAGGCAGAGAGGAGGCACCTCTCACGGGGACTGGCTATCTCAAAAAATTAGCAGGGAAGGCTTTGTGTTGATGATGGACTAAAGCCGTGGCAGTTTCTCAACACTTGATACTTGAGCTTAGGCCATCAAAAGTTGTCTGGGGATGCAGGAGTCCCTGACTGATGCAAAGGCTACAAAATTCTTGAAAGCTGAGAAGATGTAGAGAGAACTGCTGAGACTGCAGATTAAGGCAACGTGCTCTCTATAAAGATCAGCACCAGACAATGGGTTAAGAGTATTGCGAACTTAGGGTGCGCTGTGTAAAGAAGCACCATGTAGACATATTTAAGCTGGACTGGTCAGAGGCAGTGCAGCTATCCCTCCAGAGCAGTGCTTTACCCAGCATAGACAAAGCCTAAATTTGCACTATAAGGCTTCAATATTGCCATCCCTTTCAGCTGAAGCAGAGGCTGCCTGCAGAAATTGTTTCACTGGGCATGCTTGGCTCACGCTTAAGCCGCTTTCCTGCAGAAACCTTTTGGCTGAGTTTTAGGTTTTGTTTGTTTGTTTTTCTTAATTCAGGCTTGAATTCTGGAATAAGACTCCACAGCAAAGCCCTCCCCTGCCCAGGTTATTTGGTCACGGACAGAGCAGCAGCCGAACGGGGAGATTTCTCTTCTGGAGGCAGGCACAGGGCAGAAAGGCTGCCCTGGTTGTGTAGGGGCATGGGAAAGCCCCAGGCTCCCTCCCGGCTACTGTTTCCCATAATGGCCGTGTGTGCTGGGAAGGAGGAGTGGGGTCGGAGACATTGGCAAGCCTCATTAGTGGTGAGGCAGCTTCCAGGCGGACGGCACCTCCGCACATCTGGACCCTCATTATGCTGCCAGCCAGCCCACATAAAAGTAGTTTTCTTTTCTTCTGAAGGAAAGGGAAGCGGGAGTGGGGGGGCTGGTCTGAGCTGCCTCCGCTCAGGAGTGCACTCATGCAGAAGGGAAAGGGGCCGAGCAGCCCCCCCGGGCTCGCTGGGCTCTGCGATGCCAGCTCTCATTAACGTCTCCGGAGCCTGGCGCAGCAGGTTAGCGAGGTGCCCCTGCGGTGGCGAGGAGGGCTTGGTGGCGGGCCGACCCAGCAGGGAACGG